CTAACTCAATAGTTTTTAAGATGTTACTTTTGTCTTCCATTATGAAAGAATGAAGATCAGAACATCTAATTTTTTGTTGTGTACCTACTACTTCATTATATATATATATATATGAGTCATTCTCCTGTCCAGCAGCTTTCTGTCCGAACGGAGTTCGAACACCGCCGTTCGGGGCGATTACTGGTGGAATTGTTTGATGAAAGTTTTTGAGCATGTTTCTCATCAAGTCTAGTTTATCCGTACAAAATTTCAGCTTAAAATTCGATCAGGAAGGCAGTCAAATAATTCGTTGAAATTAACTGCGTTTTTCTATGTATAATTTTGCGCAGTTAACTTCATCAAATTATTTGACTTTTTTCTTGATCGAATTTTAAGCTGCAATTTGGTATGGATAAACTAGACTTGATAAGGAACATTCTCAAAAACTTTCATAAAACAATTCCACTGAGAACCGCCCCAAACGACGGTGTTCGGACGACATTCGGACCTGAGGCAGCTGGACCTAAGAATTTCTAATATATATATATATATATATATATATATATATATATATATATATATTGGTCTAGTGATTCTATTAAAATATATGTACTTGTTGGTGCAAGAATATGATTTGAATCATTATATCTATGCAAATTAACTTTTGAGTGCAAAAGTATAGTTTTTAAATTCGTATGTTAGCATGTGACCATTGTTACGTTTGTGTTGTTAAAGGTTTTCCTACAAAAAAATTGTTGGTGTAAATACCTTTTTGCCACGAATATATTTGTTACAAAAGACCTAAGTCAAACAATTTTATTTGTGTGCTAAAGATTTTTACGTCTTCATATATTTTAGCATAGAAAATTCTAAAATTTGTAGCGCGACACAAATCACACCACAAATAAATGTTGTATGTAAAGATCTTAGAATACAAAAAATGATATTTCCATACCAATAAGATTTGTAGGAAAAGTGCAACTTTCTTGTAGTGCACTACATATATACGAAGTACTATGGTATATAATAGCACTTTATATTAATTTGCATGTCATGACTGATCATTATTTCAAAATATATGCACTGACACAACTTATTTGACCTAGTGCAACATTCTCACAATAATAATAATATTAATAATAATAATAATAATAATAATAATAATAAATATAATTATAATTGAATAGATTTTTGGGTCTTTTACCAAAATACGGGAAAAGTATGCTGGAATTGTCAAAGTACGGGGATTTTTGTAGGGTTTACCAAAAAGGGGAGTCGGAACTGTGTGTTCCGACTAGGGATAGGGTTTCAAAAAAAATACCCTCCCCTCCTGTCGGATTAGCCACTTCCGACTAGAGTTTTTTCTTCTTTTTTTATTATTTTTGGCCGAATTGTTAAAGCTTTTCAAAAGTTTTTAAAATCAAAAATTAAAAGTTTGTAAAATTTCCTCCTGTCGGATATACCACTTCCGACTAGGTGGTATGTTTTAAATTAAAGTTTTTGATTTTTAAACACTTCCCACTAAAGTTTTAAACTTATGATTGACTAATGATGCACCCGGGTTGGAAGCTATTTATTAAAAAAAAATCCAGTCGGATTTGGGAGTTCCGACCTGAGAGGGTATTTTGTGCTATGGTCGGATTTGACCATTCCGACAACGGGAGCCGTCTGATGGTGATCCGCGTGCTTCTTGTTTTGTTCAAGACCGTTGGATATCAATCCATGTGTTTCTTTAAAATTAAAAATCGGACAACTTAATTAAAATAAAATTCCAACAACTAAATCATACTCCCTCCGTCCCTTAAAACTTTGCCATCTTTCCTTTTTGGGACGTCCCAAAAACATTGCCACTTTCCCTTTTAATCAATTATTTTGTGGTTTCTGTTATTTCTCTCTCCTCTGCACAAACCTCAACAACACAATTTTTACTTTATTATTCTCCGTGCCGGTCAACTTTGGCAAAGTTTTAAGGGACGGAGGTAGTATAATTGAGGTCAAAGAGGACTACAAGAAAAGATTTTAAATTTAATGTTTATAAAGATTAAAAAAGTCATATTTTGGAATTAATTATAATTAACTTGAATAATACATATCGGGGGATTCATAGTTCTCAAACGTTTGGCGGTTGCTCCTCCGACCATATACTGATGATGGACCCTGAGATTATTTATAATTTTCATCTTTTTAATTAATGGCAATTATTTCTATTCATCCTAATTTTTTTGATTCTTCAATTATGAGTCGGGAGTAGTTTTAATTATGGGTTTGGGATTGATAAAGGGGTTAATCACAATGTATGGCTAAATCGTGATGGTACTACTACTACTACTATAATGTTAGTCTTCTCGCACTTAAAAAGATCGTAATATAGTGGTGAAAGTACGAGTATCGTCTCCACAGGGACGGTAAAAAGGAATTAAGAATTAACTAAAATCAGCGATAAAGAATAAATAAAACAAATGCGGTCGTGCGAGAATTGGTTGCTTGAGAAAACTAAAATTGCAAATAAACGACTAAAAGTAAATAATTGGGTTCTTCTTAATTAACGACGAAGGGAACAGGGATTGATTCCGGAGTAATCAGATTTCTGGCAGATCAGGCTTAATTACATGAATTTAATTTAATTGAGCCTAGCTAATCAATACTAAGTTCTTACCGCTCTCGCGGCGTAGAGTACAATAATTTAGGGGACCAGGCTGATCTCTCATGCGACAGGATCCTAAATTATTGTCAAGATGAACGAGCTTACGGCCCCTTAATCGCTACTAATCTCTTAGCGAACGATTAAGTGTGTGTTAATGTGTCCTAGAACAAATTAGATCTCTCTTAATTTATTCTAGAAAGAATGACATCAATATTACTCCTCAACTTCTCTTGGACAAAAATATGATCAGTTTTAAAAATTCCACAAAAGTGACCTAGTGACCCAGAACAATTCATCCGCGCCCCTTTCTCTCCTGCGTATATCTTCCCAACGAACACCCTCTGCGTATTTCTTCCCTTCTTCGCAAAGCTTCCTTCCTTCTTCTGCTAACCCGTCGGCCTCGCCTCAGCCTCTCCTTCGCCTCACCTCGCCGCGCCTCAGACTCGCCGCACGGTTTGCCTCGCCAAATCACTTGTTCCTCCTCCAATCCGGCGCTACTCTTCGCGCATCCATGGTTCCAGTCAACTGCGACTACCAAGCCATCATACTTGATTCCTTTTTCTCCTTTCTGTTGGATTTTTAAATCGATTTTGGGGGGTTTATTTTCAGATATGAGTTCCAAATCGAAATTTGGCTATGGCAAGGTCGGAAGGTAATGTGCGGCGTTGTTTGGTGGGGATGGGGTGCGTCATTGCTGGGCGGGGACGGGGGGAGGGTGTTGTGGGGTTGCGGAGATGAGATGGTGAAGCAGGGGATCGGGACAGAGGCTTGGGGAGGTGGCTGGGGGATCAAGGGTGGTTGAGGTTAATGAGGGGTCTTGGGAGGTGATCGGGGCCGGGGGGTTCTGGCGAGGAGTGCGATGGTGGTGGGGGCCATGGAGGGGTTGGGGTGGGGTTGGGGCATAAAGGAGCCGGTGGAGCAGGGGGCTGGGACTGTTGTAGTAGTTGTTGTTGGCGGTGTGGCGTCGGATAAGGAACCGATAAATTTTTTGTCGGTCATAGTGACAGCGGTGGTTGCAGCCGGAGTAACTTTTGGTGGGTAGCGTCACTAAAAACCGATGTCACTGGGCAGTGACGGTGTCATTGTTGTGTCACTATGGTCGTTGTCACTATGGCCGGTGACGGTCTCCGATGACGGCGGTCACCGGTGGGAGGTGGTGGGAAGAGGTGGTGGATGTCACTGTTTCTCGTGTCACTGTAACGTGTCACAGTAGCAGTAGGTATATAAGTAAGCTTGTCACTTATGGGTCACATTTCTGGAATTTAAAAAAAAGGTCACTTTTTTGTCAATTGCCCTTTTATTAGTAATATTCAAGGCAAAACTCCTTTATTCTATATGCAATTGTAATTCTAGTGGTCATTCTAAGTTACAAAAGATATCAATTAAATTATTCAAACACAAATTAAACGGCATTCATGCAATTTACACCATCAAGAACCTAACCATACATCATGATTAACCCCTTCATCAACCCCAAATCCCTAATTAAAACTACTCCCTATTCATAATCGAAGAATCAATAGAATTGGGATAAATAGAATTAATTGTCATTATTCAAAAAGTAGGAATTTACAAAGAATGTTAAGGAATTGAAAAACCTGGCTGAAAAAGCTCTCTAATCTCGTCCTTAAAAATTTACAAATTACTAAAATACGTACTTCTAAAGTCCTAAAACCGAAATTTAAGTCAAATTTTAAATTTAACACACTTTCTAACTTTACAGAATTTTATAGCTAAATTTAACTCTAAAATTACAATCTAATACTAGTATAAAATTCTAAAAAATCACCAATAGCTAAAATTCGAAAGTTAACTAAAAAATCCCATATTACTAAAATAATTAAGTACTTCTGAATTCCTAAATTCGAAATTTAACTAAAATTATAAATTTAACTCAATTTCTAAATTTCTAGAATTTCATAGCTAAGTGTAACTCTAAAATTCCAATTTCACAATCTAAAATTCAAATTTTAAAATTTACTAAAATAAGTAATTAATAATTATACAGAATCCGTAATTTATAAAACCTATTTTAAAATTTTAGTAATTTTAAAGGTTACTAAAATAATTAAAATCTAAAATCAAGATTCTACACAAGTGATAAACTTTGAGTTGATTGAGTAATGATTGAGCAAAAAGATTTCTACACAATTCGTAATTTATAAAACCAGGCCATTTTACTCCTAGTCGGATTAGGGAATTCCGACAGGAGAGTTTGTGTTGGTTTAATTTCCCAACTTTCCTCCAGTCGGAATTCAGGAATCCAACTCCCGTATTTTGGTAACCTAATTGGAACTCCCGCTATTTGGCTTGTCAGACACCAAACTCCCGTATTTTGGTAATTTCCTCTAGATTTTTTGCACGATTATCAACTTATAAACTTTGACTCAAAAGGTCAAAACAAAAACAGGGTAACTTTGGTGGTTTAAAAACATGCATGTACGGGTGATTATGTGTGTGACACATAAAAAATGTGCAAAAACAGGAGCCATCTGTGACGCCAAAAAGTATAGTATAGATGATGGATCGAGTGGTACGTGCTAGAGTTGGCCGGAGTTGGAACCGGGCAGATGGCCCGGGAACCGACGTGGCGACCACATGGGGGGATCCGGCATGCGCCGCCCCTTGCTGTCGTAGTAAATCACGCCGGCAAAATCCAACGGCTTGCATTTGCCTCCCATCAGGATTGCCCGCTGCCACAGCCCGCCGTTGCCGAAATCCTCATCCTCCTCCTCCTCACCCTCATCCTTGCTTTCCATCTCTTTCTTCTTCTTCTTCCTGAGTTTAATAGCCTTATTTCCAATCGTCATCAACAGGTCCTTCGCCTGCGGGATCGGCGGCAAGCTTTTGCTCTTCCTGCAAGAAAATATAATTAAGAGAATTAATTATATACGGACAGGGGCGGATCCAGGAATGAAGAGTGGGGTGGGCTTAGCAGGAAAAAAATTGTTATTGCAAACAAAAAGTTTAGCTTAGACTCCTTAGGGTCGTAATCGAATTGAGTTTTTTTCGAACTACGCGAATTCGAGCGTGATTTCGAATTTAATTTAGTGATCTGAGCTTAAGAAGCTTTTTTTAACTCGAACACGAGCTAGATTTTGAGTTCGAATAGTTGTTCAAGCTGAGTTCGAGCATAGTGGTATTCGGTTTGATCCAGACTCGAGTCTATTAATAACTCGTAAATTATAGAAATAAATTTTATTTATCTTAAAATTTAAACATTTTCATTGCAATTTTTTAAATATATTTGAACACTAAAAAAATAGAGTTCATATATCTATTTTATTCAACCGAGTTTGAGCATAAATTAAATTAATAATCAAATAGAATTACATAACTATTAAATAAAACTAATGCACTAATAAAACTATTATAATTTTATTATTATTATTATTATTAATAATAATAATAATAATAATAATAATAATAATAATAATAATAGATATAGTATATGACCAAATAAGGATAGTTGAAAAAGAGTAACTTAGTTATTTTAATGATTATAATTATGTTTAAATTTTAATGCTTATAAAAGTTACTCATGGTGACTTGGGTCAAATAATAGTAATATTCATATAATAATAACAGTATTATAATAATAATATAATATTAATCATAAAATTTATGTTGTAAAATAATATTGTAAACTTGTAATACAAAGTGCTTTCATTGATGGTGTGGGTGAGTGGGTGAGATGGGATTGCATAATTTGCAGCTGGCTCCAAACACCAACTACATACAATTGTTTAATACTCCGTATGTAAAGTTTTGCTCCTCAATTTATCCCACACCGACTGCAAGGATGGTTCACCCTCCTGAGTGTCCTATATATAAATCACTTCTTGGTGCAATCACACCAAGCTCTATTATTACACATCAGGATCATTTGTTCTCGGGATCATTTGTTCCCATGACTATGGGCTTTAAACAAAGTTTGGGCAGCCTTTTGATTTTAGAGCTTCTTAGAACACTTCCTTGTAGACTTGGGGTGGGCTGAGTTTTAAAATTTTGGGTGGGCTGAAAATTAAATCTTTTTCTATACTAACAAAAAAAATTGGGTTGGGTTGGGCTAGAGCCCACCCTAGACCCTACATAGATCCGCCCATGTATACGGAATATACTACGTTTTACTGTTTTAGTTTTTAAGACCCTTTCAAATAAATAAATAAATTATACGGATCGGAGTACTATGTATACGGTTATTTTCCTGCGAGAAATTTGCAAATTTTGTCCTCTAATTTTCGACTATTATTATTATGGTTATGTAATTTATTCAAATGCAAATTTGGTCATATAACTAAAATATTTTGTAATTTAAGGATTTCCATCCAAAAGTACACTTTTGGCGGAAAAATCCGACCTCTGCAACATCTTTTCCGGTATACTTTTGCTGGAGAGTGTACTTTTTAGGTTGAATGTCTTTAAATCGCAAAAAAAATTCAGTTACAGGACCAATTCACAAGCAACTAAAGCTACAAAACTAAAAATGAAAATGGCCGAAAGTTACGGGACCAAAATTTAAAATTTTCATTTTGTTGTTTTATACTCCGTATTAATAAATTTTTACTACGTACCACGTACTTTGCAAATACATAGTATATATTTGCATGATGTATAAAGTCACTTATGGACCAGATTAATTTCCACACGGATGTATCTCTTTCAAAATGCAAGGAAAAAACTCATGCCATGCTAATTTAAGACTGACAATTAAGCAAAACATTAAAGTTGATTTTTTCACATACGGAGTAATATACTGTTCTTAAATACGACTTTATTCACATTCAATATTTTAATTACATTTTATTAGGAATTTATTTTTTCAAAAATATTATTAAGAGTACGAACGGAGTATTAAGTTCCTCTCGTTTATACGTAGTTTTTTTCAAAATTCAAGTTTTATGTGTTTTACTAATAGGGTATAAAATACTCCGTGTATCAATGGCGCGTTGGTGTGTTGAGTAGGGGTGGGCGTGGTTGGTTAACCGTGTTTTGGTTAACCAACTTTCCGGTTAACCGAGAAACCTATTACTTCGGTTAACCGAGTATCGGTTAACCAAAGCCTCGGTTAACCGAGTATCGGTTAACCAAAATTTCGGTTAACCACAAACCGGTTAACCAAAAACCATCAAACCATTGATTAAATATATACACATACCATGTTCTTTCTATATTAATTAAGTCCAAACAAGAGAAAAATAAATTTTGAGAGTGGAATACAGGAAAAGATAAAATACACTTAATAAGAATAAACGTGTTCAATTGCTTCAAAAAAAGAATACACATGTTCAAGTCTCACAATTGCAGAATGGGCTAATTAATTATAACTCACAAAAGCTTTGATAATTATTAATAATATGAAATTAAAAATTCTATAGTGACAAACATAATTTGGTTTCTTCACATGTTTATTAGAATTGATGTATCTAGATGTGTTGGATACATATTTATCTTTCCAAGTTCTCTGAGAACGTGAAGTTCATGACTAGACATGAACATACCGGTTATTGGTTAACCGATAGTAACATATTTCTAAAACCGTAACCGTACCGCGAACCGTTTATTCTCACGGTTGGTTAACCGTACCGTGGATTTAAAAAATTGCGGTTCGGTTAACCGGGGAAAACGGCGGTTTTCCGGTTTTTAGGCGCGGTTATACGGTTACGGTTTTTTATGCCCACCCTTAGTGTTGAGTGTTGACGAACCTCATAAAAATAGAAATATTGCAACCAGTGACGGACTTTCTTTATTCATGAACACCCAGAATTTTAAAAGTTAAGTGTAAAAATACATTTATAAAATTGATGCAATAATTTATATATTGTACTGCTCCATATTAGATAACTTCTTAATAGTAAAATAATTTCGAACACCCAAGATTTAGTTGCATCTTAAAAAGATGTATGTATATTAGGAGTATCATGCCGATATACCTCACCAGTTTTTTTGCGACACGCCTCCATGTGTCAGCGACCCGCCGCTTCGACCAACCGCTGGCGCTGTTGATGGCATGGTTGGCAGCGGAGGTGATGGCGCGGCCGGTCCTTGTCATGAGTTCTCCGCCACGGATGGTGCTGATCGCGCAGCCGGTGGTTGTTTTGAAAGCTACCCCGTTGTGGGTGTTGATGGCGGAGGTGGTGCGGCCGATAACGCATGTTGTGCCACTGACCACATAGCCAGCGCTCCCGTCGGCTGCCTTTGACGGTGTTTGGAAGATCATTTTGTTTCGTACCGCCATTTTTGTTCGCCAAAGCGCTGCTATTTATAGAGAGCCAGCGACCTGAGGCCTGTTTTTAGTTCATTATTACTCCACAAAATTAAATATGATACTAACTTTGGACAATTTTTCAAATCCATCCACAAAGATGAGTCACTTTATGTACTTACCGAAATTAAAATTAAACGCCCACCATCAATCAGGACGGGTAAATATTAAGTAGTTGCACGGAATATTTTCTACTTAATTTAGACTATGATACTCTACCTATTCTGAATAATTCAAAAATAAATTCATATGAATCCATTCATTTCATAATGAGATTAGCAAATTTGTTTTTTCGAATGCCTAAATAAATTGATTATTAACCATGCATGCACAATAATAAACAATAGGCATTTATCATTATGTGGGGACCATGGTATGCAAAAGTTAAAAACTCATACTATAGACTTTCCCAAGTTAAAAGCAGGTGATAAATAAGAAAAGTAAAAGCTTTGTGGATGAGGTGTGTGACAAAGTTGCTTCGGGGAGAATCATAAATGAGTTGCTTTAATAGAAAAGTGACAAAGTTTTTTGGGAAAAGAAATGAGCAAAACCACATACAAATTAGTTGATTTAATAGGAATGCGACAAAATTTTTTGGGACAATCAAAAGGAAAAGTTGGCAAAGTTCAATGTGATAGAGAAAGTATTGGTTATGCACGTGAAAATCATTTTTCCAAGATAAACGGCTTATATATATTGATATAGCTATTACAAATCAAGAAATAGCTATTAAGGTTGTTTTTACTTGGACTGTAATTTGCTGGTCTGGTCTAGTCTGGTCTGATCTGGTCTGGTATGGTATGATCTGGTCTGGTCTGGTCTGGTCTGGTCTGGTTTCTTTGTATTTTTATAACTATCCAAGTCTGGTCTGGCCTGGTCTGGTCTGAACTGGTCTGGTCTGGTCTGGTCTGATCTGATTTGGTCTGGTCTGGTCTGGTCTGGGACGAATTACAGTCCAAGTAAAAACATCCTAAGAAATCCCTAGATAGTATGAAATAGAGTCAATCAAGAAATTCCCTAGATAGCTATTACAAATCCGATCGCAAACTTTAGGAATATACATAGAGTCAGTTAGCTCATACAAAACAACCTAACTCACTAGACACAAAATGGACAAATTTAAAACTAAAACGACCAAAAAGGAAAATTGCTGATCAAAAGTTCTCCAAAAATCCAATAATTCAAACCATGCATGCTTGAACTAAATAAAAACAAGTACTACTAAAAACTAAATGATACTGATATAAAGCCTTTCTACAAATCTCTTCCTGACACGGAGGTAGTCCTAGAAGAGGGTGAACTGCTGCAATATGGATGAACAATAGCTTCCTTTTCTTGCTTCTTTCCGAAGCGTCATAAAGATATGTGGATTCAAAAACAACTGTTGAGTATGTTGTTTTGTTGATGACTAACCATGCAGGTGGAACGGCGGATAGAACCGCTCACAGTTCCTTACAGAACAAATGACAGAACTATCCTCAGGACCAAATAATGGATATTATTAGTGTGTTGTTGACTAACCATGCAGGAGGAACTAATGCAGAAGCATTTCTAGTTCCGTGATATGATTTGAATTAATATTGATTGCACCTACTTGATTTTCAAAAAATATACTTTCCTTATATGAGTGCTTACACTTTGTCAAGAATATTATTTTTAAGCAAAAGTATCTTTCTATGCATGTCCACTCTATATATACGTATGAGTACTTATTTGGGTGGTTATTATCTTTTCATACTTGACTAGACATCCACTCATTAAATATTGTTTAAATAATTTATGGAAAGTATCTTTACTTAATGTGAGTGCATGATCCATATTTTATTGGTTATATACGTAGCATGCTTGTAATTGATTAACAAATATTTATTGCCATACAATTTGAAAAGTCATTCTTGATTTGAATATCAAATGAATATTTGTGGAAAGAATCATGATTTACGTGGCACATCTCCCATACATGACTAAGCATTTACTTTAATGACTTAACCTATATATATGTGTCACATAAATAAGTACTTTTCCACTTTAATAATAATTGACCGTAACATTTTTATATATGCAAAGAGAACAAGTTATCTTTCCATAATGGTCAACTGAAAACTCTTTTGGTAAGGATATTATTGTAGCGTGACTTAATTGTATGAATATTTTATTGCCACTTAATATCCATTGCATATATACATGATAAGTGAATCCGTGTTTCCTTATATAATGCTACGTAAATCATGAGTTGATTTACTCTTGATTGAACGCATAAGAGAGAAACTACTGGAAGGAAAGTAATTCAAAAATATCAAGGAAAGTCTACCAAGCTTCCAAGGAAAGGAAAATCAACGGACATCTTCTGGGCTATATATATAGTCGAATACCAAGAGAAGAAGATGTGTGCTTGACCGAGCAATTACAGAGAGAAATACTTATAAAGAATCATCAAGACCAAAGCATCTGGACCTACTCACGAAGTTCTAGATATAGTTTCTTTTCCCTTCTTTATCTTGTAACTAGATTTTGAGGAAAAGCTAAAGTGTAGCTTCCTAGGGTTGGGGTCGTGTGTGAGAGAGCTTTGTTGTAAAGCTGAGAGACTCTCTACCCGCAAGGTAGAGATGCATAACTATTCCTAGAGAGGATAGAGTTGGGGTGGCTCAAGGGTAGATTAGGAGAATTTACCTTGTAACCACAAAAGCCTTTTTAGTGATGTTGTTTAAAATTCCTCCGAGGGATGTCGAGGTTTTTTAATCCATTTGAGCCAAGGGATTTATCCTCGTTAAATCCTTGTGCACTTTACTATTTTGCAATTCCCTGAACCCCACACTAGAACTGTGCGAAAAACTGTCATGGTTCCACACACACACAATTCACCCCCCCCCCCCCCCCCCCCTCTTGTGTTGCTAACGGTTTCATCTACAACCTTGATATGATGCCCATGTCATACTTATACAACCGTAAGAACACAGACATAATCACTCGACCAGGCAAATCTGACGGGCACAACAAAACCTTCCCCAAAGTTGAGGGAGACAAACCACACCACATGTGCTCCAAATTCGATCGGGAAGGGAGTCAAATAATATTTTGACGTTAGCTGCGCCAAATTACACATAGAAAACACAGTCAACTTCAAAAAATTATTTGACTGCATTCTCGATCCAATTTCGAGCTGAATTGTTTTGTGCATAAACTAGATTTGATGAGGAACATGCTCAAAAAATTGCATCAAAATAATCCACCAGAATCGTGCCAAACGGCAACTTTCGGACGACGGCTCCTGTCCGAACTGCTGGACTTGAGCATTTCTGTGTGTGTAATATTTGAGTAATAACAATGGTGATAATGTTAAAACTATAATTATTATTTAAAAAAAAATATTTGAAATCTAAAAAGAATTAATAAATCAAAATAAAAGTAAAATAATTCTAGATGAATGTATCCTTTCAAAAGAAACGGGATGACTTTATATTGCAAAAAAACATCAATAGCATCAATTCAAATACGAAAAAGAATAATCACGTGTCTCAAACAATTGATAGACTAAACAAGAAAATTCATGTCTCAAACAATTGACATACTTGGTATAGCTTAAAATAAAGTATAGATGGTCAAAATGATATGAATGCACCTAGCTTCCATCAAGCTAGAAGTTGTATTGAGAAGAATATAACAATTTTTTCGAAAATAAAATTCATAATACATGATAAATAAAATACAATCAAAGTAGAGCATGTGTGAATCATGTAACATTTAACATTTTGTAATTTTAAAAAGAAAAGGAATACATACACACACACATACTAGTTATATGACCAAATTTTCAAGCCGGAAAAATTACATGACTAATAACATGTATGACCAAAAGTTTATAGATTAAAATTACAAATCTCCTTATATATATATATATATATATATATATAGAGAGAGAGAGAGAGAGAGAGTATATATATAGAGAGAGAAGAATGATCATGTCCAGCTGGAAGGACACACCCTTCTGTCCGGCCGCCGTCGTTTAGGCGGTTCTCGGTGGAATTTTTTGATGAATTTTTTTGAGAATGTTCCTCATCAAGTCTAGTTTATCCACAAAATATTTCAGTTACAAGTTTCATCAGGAAGGCAGTCAAATAATTTTGTGAAGATAACTGTGCCAAATTATACATAAAAAACGCAGTTATTTTCAAAAATTTATTTGACTGACTTCTCGATTGAATATATAGCTGATTTTTTTGTGGAGAAACTAAACTTGATGAGGAACATGCTCAAAAAAATCATCAAAAATTTCCACCGGGAACCGCCCAAAATGGCGGCGCCCGGACGGTGGATCCTGTCCCTCTGATTGGACATGATCTTTTCCGTATAGGATCTTTCCGAGAGAGAGAGAGAGGGAGGATTATTCCTGTCCGGCCGGTCCGGATAGAAGCCCCGTCCGGCCTCCGCCTTTTGGGGCGGTTCCCGTTGTTATTTTTTGATGAATTTTTTTATATGGTCTTCATCAAGTCTAGTTTATTCATACCAAATTTCAGCTTAAAATTCAATCGGGAGCGCAGTCAAATGATTTTTGGAAGATAACTGTGTTTTATATGTATATAAAAGACGCAGTTAACTTCCAAAAACCATTTGACTGCTTTCCCGATTGAATATTTAGCTTCAATTTGGTATAAATAAACTAGACTTGATGAATAAGATTCACAAAACATTTGAGCAAAAAATACCACTAGGAACCACCCCAAAAGGCGGAGGCCGGACTACATTCCTATCAGGAAATTCCGGACAGGAACAACGCTACACACTCACACACACACATATATATATATATACATACATATATATTGTTGTGTTAATGACCCAACGAGGGTTGGCCCATAAAACCCTCAAGGGCCACCTTACGAACGTCCCCTGAAGGCCCAAGATAACAGGTTACCTTTCCGCTTAACCTGGAAAGGTTCGACTACAACAGGGCCAAGCGTCAAGGGATGTACGTACCATG